TTGAGTTTAAACCTCACAGGTCACAGCAGTTAGGGATGGACCCAAGCAGGAAGCCTGGCCAGAAGGCAAATGGTCACTGCCCTGAAGTGTGGGTGGGAAATGATGACCACATTAACCCTGTGCATGGGGAGGGGATGGATGAGCAGGGCTCTGTCCACACATTTAACTCCTTGTTTCCCTCGTGCTCTTCCTGCAGGATGGCTCCTGCAATGGGCTGCAGCACTATGCAGCGCTTGGCCGGGATCTCAGCGGCGCTGCCTCCGTCAACCTGGTGCCCTGTGGGCTCCCTCAGGATGTCTACAGTGCAGTGGCCCAGCAGGTGAGGTACAGTGGAGACACACAGGATCCTTCTGGACCTGCCTCCTCCTCTTGGTCTGCACAGGGTGACTCCCAAGGAGAAAGGTGGCGATGAGTGTGCAGAGAGCTGGGCGGAGACAGGGACTCTGTCCCCAAGTGAGATCTGACTAGAGATCTGTCCTCACAGAGGTGGCTGGGAGAAATCTCCTGGGATTTCTGCTTTTCTCACTTGTCCTGAATGAAGCCTGGGAGAACTAGGCTGGAGAGGTGGAAGAGAGCAGAGTGTGTTCCTCATCCCTTGGTCAAAGCTGCCTGGCATATGGATTATGAGATTTTTCTTCCTTGAGATGAGTTGGAGGGAGTGGAGAGAGATTCAGCCGTGGTCCTGCTACAAAGCCTTTGGTTTCTTTGGCAAGACATGGTGTGAAACTTGCCACTGGGAGAGTGCTAAGAGGCTTATTCAGCTGGCATTGGACCCTGCATCTCCTGTCTGGGTCTCAGCAGGTTTCCTCCAGGCAGCACCACACCAGAGAGCAGAAAGAGTTCATGGGGGTGCAGAGTTTGCTCAGTTGTCACTTGGGGGCAGAGGCAGAAGAACCCAGGTTCTAAGCCATAGCCAAGCTGTGTCCTTGTCCCAGCTAGCACCACCTGGTTGCCAAGGGACAGTGCTGAGGCAGCAGGGAAGGCTCTGCAGGCACAGTTATCCATGCTGGATCTCTTCAGCAGGTGCCTTCTGTTATCCAGGGTGGTGAAAATGGGCTGCAGGGATTCTGATGGGGGCTTGAGCCAGGCAGTGCACAGCTGGGCCACAGGCCACCAGCCATGGAGGGGGCTCATGCCAGCAGTGACCCAGAGGCACTCTCCTCAGGTGGAGGAGTTTCGGAAGAAGGATGCTGAGCAGGGGGTGAAGATTGCCCAGGTGCTGCAGGGCTTCATCAGCCGCAAGGTGGTGAAGCAGACGGTGATGACGGTGGTGTACGGGGTCACTCGCTACGGCGGCCGCCTGCAGATAGAGAAACGCCTCAAGGAGATCAGCGAATTCCCTGAGGTAGAATTCCTGTGTGTCCCCCTTCCCTGGATCCTGTCACTTTCTGTCTTTGGCTGTCCCTTTGCATGACCCATGGCTCTGCCTCTGGTCTGTGCCAGGAGTACTTGTGGGAAGCATCTCAGTATCTGGTGAAGCAGGTGTTCAACAGCATCAAGGAGATGTTCTCAGCGACTCGAGATATCCAGGTAAGGAGCCTGTTGACCCTTACCTCCTCTTTTTCTTCTTCCCTGGTCCATTCATACACAGACAAGGGGATGTTCTGTGGGGAGAGATGGTTCTCCTGGCTCTGGGCCCAGAGAGGATCCTCCTGCCCCAGCCCAGAGGTGTGGGATTGTGCCAGACTCCCCAGTAAGAGCTGGACTGTCACAGTCTGTGGCAGGAGTGAAGGTGGCCTGTGCTGGGAGGGGATGGGGTCTCCCAGCTCCACACTAACTCCAGCTGCTTCCTCCTCTATTCTGAAGAACTGGCTGACAGAAAGCGCCAAGCTCATCGCCCAGTCAGGCCGGACAGTGGAGTGGGTGACACCACTGGGGCTCCCCATCATCCAGCCCTACTATCGCTCCAGGTCCACTGTGGTGAGTGTCCAGTGTGAGGTCTCATGGCACAACCTCCTGGTGCTGTGGTGGGAGCAGGGAAAAGACAGCCAGGCTAAGGCCCGGCAGGATGGCACTACTGGTGGGTGAGCCTGCAGAGCAGGTAGGATCCCTGTGTACAGGCACATCCTGCAGCCTCGTGGCTCCCTGCAGAGCCTGGAGTGTGTGGGTGGGCTGGTGAGGAAGCTCTGCGGCTCCGTCCCACTCAGGCAGCTGGGGCACGGGCCGTTCCCCGCTCTGAGAGCCTCCTCAGGGCTCGTGTGACTCAGTCTCGCTGCTGTCACCTCCCACGTGCTGCTGTGCTGACTCACAGCCCCCCAGCCCGGCTCCAGCAGCCCTTCTCGGGCCAATTCACCCTGCGAGGGCGAAGGGGTTCCGATGCCTGCCAGCACCCTCAGGAGGGGAGCTGGGCAAGTGGCAGCTGCCGAGGTGCTGGGACACCCTGGGAAGGCACAAGCCTCTCTCCAGAACAGTGGGGCAGTGCCCAGCCCCCCGTGCTGCCAGGCAGGGCAGGGTGACAGCTGGTCCCCTCTCTCTTCACAGCTGAATTGTGGCATGCAGCGCTTGAGTGTGAAAAACCCCAACAGCAGCCAGTAAGTACAAACCATAGCCTGCACTGCACCCCTGCTGACCCCAGCCTGTGCTCTGGGGACAGGGTCTTCCTATCAGGGAGGCTGTCAAGGAGTGCCAAAGCTCCTGTTATTGTCCCTGAGCTGCAGAAAGCTGAACAGAGCAGCACAGCCTTGGCAGCTCCCTCACCCCCAGGCTGGGGTGGCACTGCCTCTGTGCCAGTGCTGTCGTCTTTGGCCCTGAAATGTCCCAGCTCCTCTGTGCCCCGCTTTGTCCTGCAGGAAACCTGACACTGTGAAACAGAAGAATGCCTTTCCCCCCAACTTCATCCACTCTCTGGACTCCACACACATGATGCTCACAGCACTGCACTGCCTCAGGTAGGGAGTGGGCAGCTGGGCTCCCAACCAGCTCTTCCCTGGCTCAGGACTCTTTTGGGAGAACATTGCTGGGGCAAGGCACCACATGGGACTGAGGAGTCTCTGGTGGGTGGGCATTTGGTGTTCCTGGCAGAGAAGGAAAGGAGGCAGCAGGGCAGGGACAGGGAGATCCTGGGATTTGCCACCTCCCTCTGAAGAGCTGCTGCGCAGGGAGTCCCCCTCTTGTGTGGTCCCTGCTCCTGTCCCAGCCAGAGGTTCTATGTGGGGTGGTCCAACACAGAGGGGTCTCAGCAGTGCTTCATGGCACCTTTGCCTCCTCCCAGGAAGGGCCTGACCTTCGTCTCAGTCCATGATTGCTACTGGACTCACGCGCTCACCGTGGATGTCATGAACCAGGTAAAAGTGTCCTCCTGGCTCCCTTGTGAGCAAGATCTTGCTGATCTGTGCTCTGGGCCCATGCCAGACCTCGCCTCCCCTGGGCTTTGCTCCATAGGCTGATTGATTCACCCAGCTGAGGTGAACCTGGGATGGTTGCTGGCGGTTGCAGCTGATTTCCTGGTGCCCCATCTCCTCCCACTCTGCAGGGAGCATGTTGGGGAGAATCTGTGGAAACGGGCACTAAATGCAGCCCTGGCAGAGCTGCTGCTCCTGCCCTGCCCTGGGTCCTTTCCAAGGGCTTTTGTCACTGGGGGAAGGAGGGAAAACACCTGCTAAGCTGCACCTCACTGTTGTCTCCCTGGGTCAGGTCTGTCGGCAGCAGTTCGTGGCTCTGCACAGCGAGAAAATTCTGCAGGATCTGTCTGAGTTCATGCTGGAGAAGTACTGCAGGTATTCCTGACCTGTTGCTTTTTCCCCCCCACCTCCCTGGGGTCATGTCCAGGTGCTTTTACAGGTTGGGTCACCTGCCTGGGGGTTGCTCTGGGGGAAAGCTGTCCTTCCTTCTTGCCTGACACCCAAATCACTCTCAACAGCTGGGTAAAAACTGCTGCAGAGGCTCTGCATCCTCTGGCTGCAGAACCAGGGGAGGGTTTGGCAGCTTTAGGGCCTACCCTGGATTGCTGGGGCTGGGCTCTTGCTCTCACTGTGGGGTGCATGGTCTGTTGTGGAGGAGCTGGCTCCTGTTGTCAGGAGCAGAGGAGGGTGTGCCTGGTTCCAGATAACCTGTGTTTATTTGCTTCCTTCTAGTTCATCCAGCTCCAGCACAGCGCCCATAGCCCATTGGCAGAAGAGACTGATGGAACAGCTGTCCAATGTCCCCAGGACAGGTAGGAGCATGGGACAGGAACATGCAGAACTCAGGACTGTTTTGGAGGCAAGGGAAATGAGATGGAGTGGCCCCCAAAACCACCAAAAGACAAAAAGCCAGAGCTGTCTCCTAGGATCAGCTTTCCCCTCCTGTGCTGGACTGCAGAGCCACGGGCCAGAGCAGTCCAGCATGTCCCCATTCCCCTGTAGCATCCCTGTTAGTGGTCCCTGCCATCCTCACTGAGTCCCTGGGATTTCCCCGAGGCTGACCCAGCTCTTCCCATCCTGCTCTTGTTCCGCTCCCATCTGTTCCCAACCATGAGCATTTGCTCGGAGATGGGAGTGAGGGACTCGGCATGGTAATTGCCAGGATCTAGATGATATACATGCAATGGGATTAAGGCAATTAGTTTAACTCCTTCTAATCCTTCAGCCCTGTGTCTGCCAGGCCATCTGGCTCTGCCTGACCTCTGTGTGGAGTGGCCCAGCACTCCATGGGCAGCACAGTCCAGGGGCAGGGATCCTTCGTACACTGAAGCCACGTCTCTCCCTGTCCATCCCCACCTTGCTCTCCTGACCTCTCCTTTGCTCCCCTCAGGTGAATTCAACCTGAAGCAAGTGATGGATTCCACATATTTCTTCAGCTGAGCCCCAGCAGTCCTCAGGGCCCTGGGATAGCTCTGGACCTCCAGCCATGGTGGGCACTGGCCTGCAATGATCTTCTGTCCCACATCTCAAGGGGAAGGAGTTGCAGCTTCCAGTGAGAGCCCTGCCTCACTCTGAAGTGCTGGGCAAACTGGGACTCTGCTGGAGCAGCTGGTGAGGGACAGGGGCTCTCCACTGTTTGCTGTCACTGCCTGTCCCAGCTCAGGGAGAGGGCACCAAGCCCTGCAGAGGGCTGCAGCTCTGGGCTGGGGGCAAAGGGGTGGCAGGAGCCAGTGTGGCTCCCCTCAGCCCACGCCCCAGTGCTCTGAGCACTGTCGTTTGCCTGGCTGTTGCCTGTCCTGGGTTGCTGTCCCTCTGCCAGCAGAGCTCAGACATGGAGGGGCAGGCAGCTGCCCTGGCCACAGCAGGAGCCCCAGCCCTGCTCTTGGCCACAGGGCAGGTGCTGCTCTGTGCTCTGCTCCAGCTCTGGGCACTGTCCTCACTCTCCAGAGCGCAGCCTCTGCAACTCGACTCATTTTCAGTCATGCGTTTTGCTGCTGCTCACTGGGGATCAGGCAGGGAAAACCACTAACTTGGGGGTCAACATGTATAATATTGTAAATAAAATGTTTTTTGAAATACAAGATGGGACCTGTGTCCTCCAAATCTTTGCCTGAAGCCTGTGAGATGCCTGGGCTCTTGCCTCACCTTGCCAGGGACACAGGGGAGGTGGGATTGCTGCCTCCCAGCCTGGCCCTGTTGTGCTGACTGGTTGGGCTTTGGTTGCTCACAGGGGTGTCACATTCTGAAAATGCTTTTGTAGCAGGAACATGGAATTGTGCCAGTGCAGCTACAGTGGGCACTGGACTCTCACAGGGGCCAAGGACAGCATTTTCAGCCAGGAGCCTTCCACTCTCACTGGACTGTGGCTTCCCAGACCTCCTCTCCAGCAGGCTGGTGCTGCAGATGGTTGGCACCTTGTAACTGGAGCTGTGTTTGGCCCAGTTCTTGGCTGTGTCCTATAACCACAGGCTCACAGTCAGCACCCAGCTTCTTCCTGGCTGCTGCTGAAGCAAGGGGAAAGCTGCTGGCAGAGGCTTTTCACCTTGTGGCTTTCCTGGCAAGGGAGACAGCTCTTCAAAGGACAAAGCTGCATCCCACAGCCTGGGCTGGGGCTGTGCCCAAGTGTTCTGGCTTCCAGGGCCGGGCACGGAGAGCGGGAGGCGCGGCAGGGAGGGACGGTGGCGAAGAAGCAGAGCCGGAGTCGTGCGTAGCTCTGTCAGCTGCTGACGTTTATTGCACAGGATGGGCTGGATGGGAAGGTGGACACTTGGAGTGGGGCCCTGTCCCTCCGGCTGCTCGGCCGCAGGGTGCCGGGGCTGGCACGGGCCCCGCGCTCGCGGTACATTCAATGTGGAAGGCTCCAGAGTGCGAGGCAGCGAGGCACACACACACACACACACACACACCTGCACACACACCTGCACACACACCCACACACGCACTCACAACACACGCACAGGCACCCGGTACCCTCGGTAGGTGCCTGCCCCAGCCCCAGGGCTCGGGCTCCAGCGCCTGCCTCCGTCCTAGCGCTGCCTATGGGGACACGGGGCTGTGCTCTCCCCCAGCCCCGGAGTGTGGGGACAGTGTGTTCGTGGGTGCTTACAAGCCTCAGGGCGACCATCCCTCAGACCCTTCCCAACTTACCTCCAGTCCTGGACCATCACCCCTCGCCTTGG